GATAGGTTAAAAATTTTATTTTGTTGAAGAAATAAGTGACTTTCATTCAACATCTTAAGCATTATATTATTGATTAAATGTGTACTTCTATCCCTAACAGTGATGCTGTGATCCTTTATTTATAACAAAAGGTGAAATGTAGTGTTTGCCAGAGGTCAGAGGTCACTCCAGGAGCTGGGAGGGAGTTATCACATGATCAATACAAAACTACACCAGTAGTATGGAGTCTGTTCTGGCTTTTACTGTGTGCACAGAGTACTTCTCTATGTGCAGGCTCCCCCACAGGTATTTAGAGAAGTTCAAGACTTCCTGTCAGTGTTGAGTGATGAACTACAGCTTAACTCACTGGTATAACTTTGTTCAGCACTTTGGTTGTTTTTAAATGCGCTTTATAAATAAACTTGACTGGTTACTAGTTGGTTGAGATCTGGCGATACCTAAAAGCGAACAAGTTTCTCCTAAATGACAGCAGCTCAAATCTATCACCATTACTGGTGTTTTATATATATATAGTTATACTATAGAGAATAATGCAGCTGAATTAAATTCAACTTTATTTATATCTCTCCAATTCATTCCACTTTTATTACAGAGCAGGTCTGGACTCTTTGTAATATTATGAATCAAGTCACTATCAGCAAAATCCACAGCAGAACCCAAAATATGTTTCTGTATCATTCATAAAAAAAAAACCAACACGTTAATGCTGAGATAACATGAAGATTTGATTATACTGAATAACAAAACTACACATTACTTATCAGCCATCTAAATATCAGCCACTTAAAAAGCAGCGTATGGTTCGACCATTCATACAGGTGAGCTGTTAGAGGCCAGTCAGGTGAGCAAACACCTGCATTTGCTGTGAATAGTTAGTGTGAAACATGAACCAGGACCTTCAACATGTCAAACACTTGAGTCAACTTACTTTACAGGATCTTAATGTGTTTCCGGAGTAGTTTTAAACTCTTTATTTAGCTACACTGACATGACAAATACCGCTGCATGTTTTAACACGGAGGAGAAATGAAAATACGTAACGCCGTTTCGGACTAAATACTCTTTACTGAGCTGTAAATCAACAGATCTGTTCGTGGACTTCATCGGCTAACTGAGCCAACTTTAGCTCAGTTAGCCGATTAGCTAACTGAGCTAAAGTTGGAGAGCTAGCAGTTAGCATTAGCCTGAGACTTCCCGCCGCCGCTGAAACTCACCGATAATCATCGTCTCGTCCGGGATCTCCTCTATGAAACATTTCTTCTCGGTCTCTCCGATGTGAAAGTACAAAGAGGAGACGACGCTGTAGAAAACGTTGAGAAGTAAAAGTGACAACACACACGACCGCATCCTGACAGACACCATCTTCCTGCCGGGAGAGAGCTCGACTGAGCGTGCGCGGACACAGCAATGCCACGTAAACCCTCGCACGGCTCTGGCCAATCAGCGAGCCGTAAAAGGCAGCTGGGTGTTGTAGTTCTAAACGCTTTGCAGACGTCGAAGCACATCACATTAGCAAAAAGTACAAAGTGAACACTTTGTTGTAACATTTCTTTTATATATCCACAGAAGTTAAATAACAGGAATTCTTTATACCACATTAAATGTAACATACAGGTATATTTAACCCATTTAAACTCCAAACGTGTCGTTACTAGTTTTACATTTTTTTATTACTTTATTTTATGGACAAGGCACGTTAATGAAGGTCAGAATAAAAATATAAGATGTAAATATGCCAATGTTTAGCAAGAATGCAAATTCACATCCCTTCAGATTATATGATATTTCATTATAAAATAAGCTACACATGAGTATATCAAACCACATTATAATCACTATCTTGTTACTGCTGTTCATGTTTTATTCCCTCAGATGCACATGTAAAAATATCCACTGCAGAATTAGTTCCTGGGTGTTTGCGTGCATGTTCATAAATAACTGCATATATATCCCTATTCTTCTATATATAGAAGTAGGTGATATGTTACATGTGTGTTGCCTGAAAGGACTACAAACTTTCATTTCATTGTACAACTTTGTGTATTATATCCATCCATCGTCAGCAGGGCTACACCCTGGACAGGTCGCCAGTCCACAGACAAACAACCACTCACACCTAAGACAATTGTTAGAGACACCCATCAACCTAGCCTGCACGTCTTTGCCGGAGCACCTGGAGAGAACACACGGGGAGAACATGCAAACTCCACACAGAAAGGCCGGGACAACAGGGGTTTGAACCCATGACCTTCTTGCTGTGACACAACAGTGCCAACCACTGTACCACCCACTGTACCACTGCGCCGCCCCCTTATGTTTTATAATGTTACACAAATTACTTTGATCCTGTGTAAAGTAATCAACATTTTTTACCAGATGCAACAGGTGATGTAAAAAATATTTTATGTTTTATTTTCTATTTCACCCTTTTGAAAATTATACTTTTAAAATTATTATATGTAATGTGGGTTTTTTTCAACTTCTGAGTACTTCTTCCACCACTGATACAGCAGAAGTAGTAGTAGTAGTAGTAGTACTTTTACTTTAGTAAATGAGCCGAGTACTTCTCCCACCTCTGGTACAGCAGTAGTCGTAGTACTTTAGTAAATGAGCCGAGTACTTCTCCCACCTCTGGTACAGCAGTAGTAGTAGTACTTTAGTAAATGAGCCGAGTACTTCTCCCTCCTCTGGTACAGCAGTAGTCGTAGTACTTTAGTAAATGAGCCGAGTACTTCTCCCTCCTCTGGTACAGCAGTAGTCGTAGTACTTTAGTAAATGAGCCGAGTACTTCTCCCACCTCTGGTACAGCAGTAGTCGTAGTACTTTAGTAAATGAGCCGAGTACTTCTCCCACCTCTGGTACAGCAGTAGTCGTAGTACTTTAGTAAATGAGCCGAGTACTTCTCCCACCTCTGGTACAGCAGTAGTCGTAGTACTTTAGTAAATGAGCCGAGTACTTCTCCCACCTCTGGTACAGCAGTAGTCGTAGTACTTTAGTAAATGAGCCGAGTACTTCTCCCACCTCTGGTACAGCAGTAGTCGTAGTACTTTAGTAAATGAGCCGAGTACTTCTCCCTCCTCTGGTACAGCAGTAGTCGTAGTACTTTAGTAAATGAGCCGAGTACTTCTCCCACCTCTGTTACAGCAGTAGTCGTAGTACTTTAGTAAATGAGCCGAGTACTTCTCCCACCTCTGGTACAGCAGTAGTCGTAGTACTTTAGTAAATGAGCCGAGTACTTCTCCCTCCTCTGGTACAGCAGTAGTCGTAGTACTTTAGTAAATGAGCCGAGTACTTCTCCCACCTCTGTTACAGCAGTAGTAGTAGTACTTTAGTAAATGAGCTGAGTACTTCTCCCACCTCTGGTACAGCAGTAGTAGTAGTACTTTAGTAAATGAGCTGAGTACTTCTCCCACCTCTGGTACAGCAGTAGTAGTAGTACTTTAGTAAATGAGCTGAGTACTTCTCCCTCCTCTGGCTCAGCAGGGGCAGCAGTACCACATACGGCCTGCAGGGGGCAGCCAGTGAAACCTGCTCCGGTTTAGTGTAAAACCGAAGAAGAGACACTGAGCATTATGCAGATGATGGGGCCGTATGGATGAGAGGAAGAAATGAGACATATGTGTTAGAGAACATTAGGAAAGCAATAGGGAAAGTAGAGAAGTGGTCATTCAAGTGGGGATTTAAAATATCAACAAGCAAATCCTGTTATATGGTGTTCACAAACAAGCGAAAGTGTCATGTAGAAAAGCTTTTTCTATATCAGCAGCCAATGGAAAAAGTAAATGAATTTAAGAATTTGGGATTGTGGTTTGATAGTAAGTACACATGGAAAACACACATAAAGCAATTGGAAACTAAATGCAAACAAGTTATTAATTTACTGAGAGCGGTGGCGGGATGTGACTGGGGTGCAGATAAACAGTCACTAACTGACATATATAGAGCATGCATGAGGTCATCAATAGATTATGGTTGCATAGTATATGATGCAGCAGCAAAAACAACATTGGAAAAAATAAATTATTATTATTATCTAAAAATCTATACAGATGGATCTAAAAACAAACAGGAATGTGTGGGAATTGGAATAAATATACCAGAATTCAAAATAAATATCTCAAAACGATTATCAGATAGGCTATCCGTATATACAGCATACAGTTATTATAGCATTACAGTGGGTTGAAGAGGTCAGACCTGATAGGGTGATATTATGCACAGACTCCTTAGCAGTTATTAAAAGCATTCAGCCAATGACATCTGTCAGAGATGACCTACTGATAGAAATGTTTCACATCTTATTAAGATTACATCGGGGAGGGATAGATGTTCAGTTTTGCTGGGTGCCAGCTCATGAGGGAGGAAATGGAAATGAGATTGCAGACAAACTAGCAAAAGAGGCATTACAAAAGGAAATAACAGTTCAAATACCTCTAGGAGAAGGAGAAGGAAAAACAGCCATTAAGAAGAAAGGTACTGAAATATGGCAGAAATGGTGGGAGGAAGACAGGAAAGGAAGGAGTTACTATAAAATACAAAAGTCTGTCAGTAATATAAATTATAGCGAAAGGAGCAGGCTGGAGGAAATTATTATGACCAGACTGAGAGTAGATCACACAGGACTGAATGGCACCTTGTTTTTATTGGGGAAAAGGAATAGTGAAAAGTGTGTAAACTGTGGGGTTAAAGAAAATGTTGAACATCATTTTGCACTGCATATTGTTTGAGTTGGAAAGACAGATATTTCAAGACAGGGTTCAGGAAGCAGGGCGGGACTGGAATCTGATGGGGGTGTTGGGAACAGAAGGAGAAGAAAAGGGTGTAAGAATCACCAGGAAGGCATTATTTAAATTTCTTAAAGACACTGGGCTGGTGAGCAGAATATGAGAGCACCTTATTGAGGTTGATAGCTGAGTGATGTGATGTTACAGACTCCAGTACAGCAGGGGGCGGTATGCACTTAAAAGATGTTTGCAATCCGCCGTTAAAGAAGAAGAAGAAGAAGAAGAGTCACTTCCTCCCAAGCTGTTTCCATGACAATCCGACATGGCGCCCGGTAAGTCCCACATTATTTCTGCCAAACAAACACGCAAATAGAGGCTAAAAGCGAGTTTTACAATAAAAACTGTTGAGCAGCTGTGATGGTTCAACAATGAACCGCGAGCCACGAACACCTGCAGAGAAACGGTCGTAATCTCCGCCTGCGTGCTGTAAAGTTAGCCGGTGTGTTAGCTTCTAATTCACGTTATTATCGCGTGTTAATATCAGATACAGACAGTTTAACATTACAGCGTTACACAAAAAGTTCAAAACCTTAACCAGAAACTAACTTACACTGTTACAGACAGCTGCTAACAAAGCTGTTTTTCTACTGAAGTACCTTTAAAAATACTCTGCTACCAGTAAAAGTACTGCTTTGACAATGTTACTTAAGTAAAAGTATGTAAATATAATCAGGAAAATGTACTTGAAGTATTTAAAAGTACTCAACGGAGAATGAGAAATTACAGTCATTTATTTTAGATCATTAGATTATTATTCCACATGCATTCAGGGTTTTCTTGCTCTAATTGTTTTTATCGGACTGCAGCTAATAATTATTTTCATTCTGGATCAATCTGCTGATTATTGTCTCTGTTCATCGATTGTAAACCTTCTGAAAATAGTGAGAAATGTTTGTTCTGCCAGTCAAAACCTCAAAATTATTAAAAAACACATTAAAATAATGAACAGGTAAAGCAGCAAATCTTCATGCTTTTACCAATCAGCTAATGCACAAGCGGTACTTTTATGAACTGTTTAGAGATTAATTTATAACTAAACTTCATATTTTATAAACTTTTAGCTTTGTGTGTAAAAATCTGACTTTTTAAAGTAAAGATAAATGTAGTGAAGTAAAAATATCTCCCTCTGAGATGGAGTAGAAGTAGAAAGTGACTCAAGTACAAATACCTCTAATTTGTACTTATGTAAAGTACTTGAGTAAATGTACTTAGTTACTGTCCACCTCTGAACGACCACTTTCTATGACATCTTGTATTTTTCTATTCTAGTTTTTCTTTAATGTGTATTTTCGTATCTGGAGCTGCTGCAAAAAGTGAATTTCCCCAGTGTGGGATCAATAAAGTCTCTTCTCTCCTATTCTAGTTAAATGTTGTGTTTTCCACCACTGGCGCGAATATAATTGGTAACATACTGGAATCTCTACTACTGCGGTTATTACTGCGTCCACGACTGCTGCCACCGAAGAAACTGACGCTATTGATGAGTTTGTCATCGGAGTGTAAAATGTGAAAAACTGTGTTTTATTTTAATTTTTTATATATATTTAATAAAAAAAAAGCTTCACAGGGCAGGAGGTATGTACAGCAATTGTAAGTCGCTTTGGATAAAAGCGTCAGATAAATGAATAAATGTAAATATATTCAGCAGTATAGAGTTAATAATAAATATGTTTGATTGCGCGGTGATTGTACAGATATGTCAGATGATCTGAGCAGAGCTGGGTGATAATGACAACACATATAAACATTATATTATCTATATAAATGTTAATGATTTCACAAGATATTTACATTTACTCATTTAGCTGATGCTTTTATCCAAAGCAACTTACAGTTGCTGTATATGTCAGAGGTCGCACGCCTCTGGAGCAATGAGGGGTTAAATGTCTTGCTCAGGGACACAATGGTGGATGTCTCACAGTGGGGAATTGAACCCAAAGACATGTGTGTTAACCACTGCTCCATCACCACCCATATTAACAAACAAGTCAGTGTTGACAGTCCCTGCAGCCCGTCAGCTCCTTAATTTCATAGTTTCTTTCATAAACTTTCTTCAGTTAATACTGATGTTTTCCAAACATTTACTCCAATAAAGTAAAATTAAAGATACTTTTAGAGATAATACACGAGCCTTTGCCTGGGCTTTCTCCTCACCCGCCTGCTCAGTATATTAATTTGTTATTTTTGATCGTCAGAGAAAAACTACTCTTGTATAACCGTATAGATGTAACATTGAGACATGAGTTCGCCTCTAACGGCTGTATTTTCTGTCTCTTTCTGCAGGGATCCAACCGATCGTATCCTTCACGTGAAGCTGATGCAGAGCTGTCCGTCTGTGTGTTACTGATGTGTCCCTCTGTTGTCCTTGACTCGCTCTTTCTTCAGCTTTCGTCCACTCCTCTGCAGGTCCTCTTCTACCTGAACAGCTGGTACTTTGCTGCCTTCTGCCTGGCGGAGATTCTGATGTTCATCTACAAAGGTCTGTAAGAAGCCGCGCAGCTTCCGCCGTCTGCACTGCACCTCGTTAGTGATGAAGTTCACAAAGCAGTTGGCTGTTTGGAAGCAGTCAGTGTGGCGACATCTGCTGGACGCAGCTTGGTGTTACACTTGTCCAGAAGGATTGAAAGCCAGACACGATGAACTCGGTCAAAGTATTAAGTCGAGACACGGGTCAAACTGCCCCCCCCCACAACTTTACTCACATCACAGTGAAACCTTACAAGCTGAAATTATACAGAAATAATAGCTTTTTTAAAAATGTACAACTTTTTATGTTTTTGATATGCAAATAAAGTATTTCCTCATTAATTATGCGCTGATTTGCATATCACCCAAATCCATTTTCCAGCTCATTAATAAGAGTCAGATGGATTTATTTTGGTTTTATTGATAATAAACCAAATGGGTAGACATTTGCATAACGGTTTTTATCATATGTTTTTTTTTTTTATGGATTTACTCATAATGTAACAAGTCGCCTTAAACCAAAACAGCAAGTGAAAAGTACACAGAAAGCCTAATTCACTCACTTCCGCTTCCGGCTCATGGGACCTTATTTCAGAAAAAATATGTAAGGTAGTGAATGGCGAGAGACAACTTATCTTTTTATCCCGTTAAAATTGAGCCCTGAATTACACACATGATGTTGGTCAATTTAAAATATAATTTTGCAAGTCAAGAATGTTAGCGCAGTAAAGCTAGCTAATGTTTATTGCTTTCTTGCTGCTATGATGCTACTAGCTAGATAACTTAGCTAAGTTCCACGTAGAAATCTATCTCACCTGATGTGTTTAATCCAAGGACTCCTGGTCCTTTTGTCACGTCATCCACTCATGTAAATGTTTTTATTTATATGAAGGGAAACAAAATTCATGTGGCCGCTGACAATTCAGAATATCTTGAATACAATGCAGTGATCAGCAGCTTGCTTTTTTTAAGCCTAAGTTACTTTTTTTTGGACAAGGCGGATCTGTTTCTTCTATATTTACATTGCATTTCTTCTTTTCCTATTGTGCAAGTAAACCTTTCTCAAATAAGCTTTATTTGTTATTTAACATTTCTTGTTGCAAGCTATTTTTCAGAGAACTTTTAGCAAACGCTTTCCAAAATCAGCCATTTCAAAAAGTGGTGGCGGGGACATGTCCCCAGCGTCCCCAGTGTAAATGACACCTATGTATTCGTGCTGGATTTTGTCCTGTCTTACCGTTATTATGTTTTTGCATATTTACGAGCTCAGTCATGCGAGCAGCAGTGTTTTAGAGGTCATTTTAATCTGCTTAAATTAAAGTGTGAGAGAACACCGGCATTAGCTTTGTGGCTAATTTAGCAACAAGGCAGCGTTATCTGCTGTTGGCGATGTTAGAAAATATTTAGAAGTAATAAATTAGACAGAAATGAGAGGACCGGTCGCTAGAACTGCCAAACTGTTTCAGAAATAAATCTACAATCACGTCTGTCAGCAGCGTAGCCTCCAACACCAGGTTACCGAAACGTTAAACGCGCTGCTGAGCCCAGAGAGGGCGGTGAAAAACGTGTGTGAGCGCTACCAGGAGCTCCTCACCGTAGCTCTGGCAGCGCCGGTGTTCTGTCGATTTCTGCTACCCATCGAGATGCGCTACTTAGCGGTTCTGCGCATGCGTATGACCCACAAGCGTGGTTTGTTTCCACGCCCATAAATCTGTGCCACCTTGCTGTTGTGCATGCAGTCGAGACAGCGGCTGATCGTCAGCAACATCAAAAAATAAAATCAGAACACGCTACCCCTGATATCTTAAATAAAGATGGCTTCATATAGTATTTCAACATGCTCCCCATCTCCTTACAGTACACATGGAGTGAGTAGTGGTGCAATATAAAAAGATTTTGTAGTGGGAGCTTGATATGCTGAATACGCTGCCCCTGAAATGATGTTATAATATAATAAAAAAAACAGAAGATGTCATAATACTGTGAGAGTTATAACTTTATGGGATTGGAAATGGGAACACATAAGGTGGCATTTTTCGATAGGACAGCATAGATCGTCAGAACACCGGCTCTGAGCTGGGAAAACTATGCAACACTCAGGACCTGAGGGAAGGATCCGACTCTCTGTTTCTTATTTTTAATAATCATATTCAAATTCAATTCAGCTTTATTGGCATGAATGTATGACAATATTGCCAAAGCTACGTATAAATTACAGAAAAATCTATTTCATTAAATAAGTAAATAAAACGTAAAAAGTTGTTTGTATGTGTTAATAAAAAAAAAATAATAATAATTATAAATATATCGGCTGTTATAAATGCAGATGCAGATATATGTGCAAGTAGCTTATATCTGCAAAACGATAAATCGGTCGGGCTCTAATATGAACTAACATTGTCCTCTAGAAAACAAACTGTTTCTTACATGTTATGAAAGTCTGATGAAAATAGTTGCAAAATAACTTAAAATCTGAAAACTGACGGATTGAAACAGAATCATCATTTTGAGCAGCTGTGTCTCGCCTTAAGAGAATATCGTGTTCATTAAATGTGAACACGTTTAACGGGAGGCTGTGACTTGTCCTTTTTATTGTGGCAGCTTTAAGTAAAACTGGCGCGACTTGCTGCTGATGTGTGTCTTGTTCATAGTGGTCATGTGAAGTTTGGTGCATTTTGCTGTGATACTTCTGCTCTATAAGGTCTAACACGTTAACAGTTAAGCCTGGTGAAGTTTTCAGTTAATCTCCACATTTTGACCTGTAAATCCAGGCAGACTCCTGGCAAGAAAAGACAAAAATACAAAAGAGAAATCTTAAATTCTTCCCAGCTGATTAGAAACCCAGTTACTCAAATACAAGACCAAGAAATCAGCGTTCTCCAGGAGCAGGTTTCTCTAATCGCCTCCCCTCGATCACTAAAACCAGGCTTCTCCTTTAGAAATCAGTGTTCTGCAGAATGCAAGTAAAAAATATACATCTGCTGTCTTAAGATGCTATATGTCACTGGGAGAGTATAACGATGCAGATTATTCTACTGAAATGGGTTAAAACCCAGTTTACGTTGTTTACGCAGTTTATGTTGAGCCACAAAAGTGTCGAGGAAAGATTTGGGTGTTTATTCCTTAAAGTAGAGCATCAAGAGCCCCATGCTGGAGGTCCAAATCACCTACTGAGAGGACGTTCATACAAATCTCATTAGACTCTGAAGTATAATCAGCATATAGTAATTTAAATTATATTTAATTATTGTCCTCAGGCAGGTCAGAGAATCTTTATTTCCATTACATCACATTTATTCACTTAGCTGACGCTTTTATCCAAAGCAGCTTACGATTGCTATACATGTCAGAGGTCTCGCGCCTCTGGGTTAAGTTCAAGCTTTTCTACTTTTGGACACATAAACTTAATCTTTCTTCCGTTTCTTGTGTGCAGGGCTTTTACTGCCCTACCCGTCAGATAATCTGGTTCTGGATGTGGTGCTGCTGCTGCTCTTCCTCGGTCTGGAGACTCTCAGGATCTTTTACGGTGAGCGAATGAAACACCCGCCTGATCTGTGCGATCAGTAACATTTTTAAGCACACGAGCAGGTTCAGTCTGAAAACGGTGTGCAACTTTTTTTTACCGTTTCCAGGCTGATCAGTTTTTTGTCTAACTGAGTACCAATACTTTTATTCAGTGTTATTCAGTTAGCGGGACAAATGAAACCCTTTCAGAGTGTAAATCCTAAAATATCTCAAGCTGAAAACGAGACTGGCCGTCGTTCTTTTTTTCCTGGCTGAAAAGTTCACTAAACTGGCTAAATAATAAAACTGCAGTCATGTGACCTCAGTGTGCTGTTGTTCAGGCTGGAAGGGGAACCTGTGTGAGCGCTCTCTGGCCTCGTGTGCGTCGCTCCTCATCCTGGTTCCCTGTACGGCGCTGGCTGTTTACTACCTGCTGCTGCAGACCTTCGTCCTGCGGCTGGAGTTCCTCCTCAGCGCCGTCCTGCTCTGCTTCTACAGCCTCGAGCTCCTGCTCGGACTCCTCTCCATATCCGCCTTCTCCAGGTGACCCGATCCTGCAGGTTCTGATCGTCTGATGTGGATGACGGGGAACATTGAAGTTCACACCTTTTTGCGTTTCTTGTAGGTCCAAAGTGTGCTGAAGAAGAAACATTTGAGCAGTTTGACTTGACCTGAAACACAGAGCAGCAGGAAGGATCAACACTGGAGGTTAAACGTACGGCGCTTTGCTCAGATGCCACTTTGTAAATAAAACATTGTATATTTTCTTACTAAAATGTAAATCTGATGGACACTGTTAGTTTTCTACAAACTGTTTGTACTGAGATCAAGAGACAGATTGTGATGATGGACGGAGCTGTTGTAAATAAGAGCCGAGCTGAAATAAACCAGCATCTTGGAGGTAATAAGAGTTTGTGGGACTGCAGGCTGTCAGATGCTCTGCACCTGTAAACTCACAGAGGGACTGTTGGGACGGCGAATTGAGCTGCAGGAAGCTCGTCAGCTCGGAATGGTTGAATAAAGATTTGAGCAAAAATCTTATTTTTATTGGTTAATGCATTCTTCAATTTTCTGCCACTTATCTGGGTCCAGGTCAATTTAATGAATTATATCATTAGGAATTATTATTAATTCAATTTTTTCAATTCAATTCATTTTTATTGGCATGAAAGGGAGAAATTAGCAGTAAAAGTGTGTTCAAAAAATAAAAATGAAATATTAAAAAAAGTAAAAGTGTGTGGGTTAAAAAATAAAAATTAATTAAAATAAATAAAGTAAAAAATAAAAATGAAATATTAAAATAAAACAGTAAGTGTGTTTAAAATTTTTTTAATGAAAATTAAAATTTTTTTTTTAATGAAATATAAAAAAGTAAACGTGTGTGTCTTAAATAAAAAAATAAAACAGTAAAAGTGTGTGTGTTAAAAAATAAAAATGAAAATAAATAAAACAGTAAACGTGTGTGTGTGTGTGTGTGTGTGTGTGTGTGTATATTAATAGACAAATATAACGCTGGGAAGTTCTGAAAAAATGTGATATAGTAATAAATACTTGATGACATTAAACTGCTTTCTATGTGGTCTTAAATGTGGTTTTAAAAATAATTAAATGCAAAACTGTGAACCTGCCGAAACACTGAAGTTCTAATAATATCAGCGTAACACTAAACTTTTAAGATTGATCATTGAAACTTTAGGTTTCTTTTATGAATACAGAGGAAAACGGTCAACAGAAGAACGGGACATCTTACCAGGTGAAGATCGCCACCAGGCAGAGAGAGCGGACGACGGGCCTCCAGAGGATCCACATGTCGGTGTTGTGGCTGAACTGTGAATCCACAGCTTTGCAACTTTTCCTCACTTAAAGCGTTTACTTTTCTTCTTCATTTCTCTTATTTTCTGCAGAATTCAAAGTGCATGCTCAAGGAAAGAAAAGAGGTCCAAATTTTTAGTCATAATATCGTACCTGTGTCTGAAGAGGACGCTCGTCTCACACAGTCAAATGAATGCTTTTATTTAAAACATCATTGTCTAAAGTCTGTTCTGTTCTTTGTGTAATAAACGTGTATTAACTACCTAGAGGCAGCATTTATATCTAACAGTTTGGGGACGCCGCAAGAAATCTATAATCACAGACGACATCAAGTGTGAAAGCTGACTTGAGCCAGTGAGGATGACCATGAGATGTCAATGAAAGCTCCAGATTAAATCTAGATTAAATCTATTAAATCTTATGGAATGACCTGCGCCAGGCTTGCAGTCACGACTATAAATGAACCTTTACTCCTTGTCTTTGAACACAGTTTGAGAGTTTTTTGTTGCTATTTTATGGTCAAATTTGTTTTTTTATTGATTTATTTATTTATTGATTGATTGATCCATGCCAATATAAAGCACTTTGGCGAACCTGGCTGTTTCTCCTCTCTCATAAGTAGTCAGACCAAGTCTGAACAGGCAGTAGAATCTCTAGTAGGCCTATAGCTCTCCACTGTCTGGGTGCAAGGTGAACCCGGGAATGTTGAGTAATGTATAGTACGGGTACCCAGCATTGAGTACCCAGATTGAAGCAGGGGGAAAACAACTAGCCTGACTCCTTTCAGAGTTCAGAAATTCACCTACCAGCACCCCTAAAACGTTGTAACATGTTGTATTTTGTTTGTGTAATCCGTAAAAAACAAAACAAAACCTTTATGCTAAGCTAGGCTAACCAAGTGCCGACGCTGCTCTGTCGATGTTCCCATAATCAACGTGTTGTTTTGCCGATTCTCAGTTTGTGTGCTGCCTGTAAAAGCACCACACAGACGTGTTCAATCCTAAACGACAAAATAGGTTGAATGTCATAAAACGCTGACCGTTCCCCAAAACGGCGTAAAGGAGCGTCAGTCCAGCAACAGGCGTGCAGGACCTTAAGTAGGCCTACGGGTCGGGTCGTGGGGGCAGCAGCTCCAGCAGGGGACCCCAAACCACACATTAACCAGCTCTGACTGGGAGATCCTGACGTGTTCCCAGGCCGGTGTGGAGGTATAATCTCTACACCTTCCTAAGGAGGTCCCCAGGGGCCATCCTTACCAGATGCTTGAACCACTTCAACTGGCTCTTTTTGGCACACAAGAGCAGCGAGACTCTACTCGGAGTTCCTCACGGATGACTGAGCTTCTCACCCTATCTCAAAAGGAGAAGCCAGCCACCCTCCTGAGAAAACCCATTTCGGCTACATGGACCCACGATCTAGTTCCTTAGATCATGACCCAGCCTCCATGACCCCGGAGGGCAGAGATCGAGAGCTGCTCCGATTCTCTGGCCAATCTCCCCCGAAGTACTCGAACTCCTTCACTTGGGGTAAGGACTCATTCCCTACCCGGAGTGACGGTGCGTTCCATTTGACATGGGAAGTCGGAATTTCCAAGGTCAAACTCGGAAATTTCAATGGGAACACCCCCTTAAGTCGGACTGGGAGAACCGCACTACCCCGACTTTGTGATCCAAGATGGCTGCTCAACAGTTCCGCTGCGTTCCAGGCAACTCGGAACTGGGAAATTTCCGACCTCCAACTACAAAAAGTACTATGGAACGCCCAGGGTTGGGGAGTAACGGAGTACGTGTAACGCAGTTACGTAATCAGGATACAAAAATAAATTCTGTTATGTTGATCGGCGTATAGCCAGTAGTTGACTGTGGTTACACCCCCACTCTGTCATGCAGACTGTACCGACTGATTCCAGCTCCCAGTGGGTGAACAGAGCAGCCAGACCCGGGGCCGAGCAGCCTCCGAGACCGACAGGGGTCAGTTTGAGCACTGGGAATAAAGCACTAATGTGGTTTTCTTGCCAGTTTGTTTCTTGTCACTGGGCTGAGTCAACTAATGAGACTGTGTTCGTTCCTGTTCATGTTGTGTTCACTGGGAGGCCCGCTCGCTCGGCGCCACTCCCCCGCAATCATGCCCTGCAGGGAAACCGCCGCCCCCGGCCTGAAAACCTCCAGAGTTTGAGTAAAGGTGTAAACCTAAACACACGTTCCGGTGCTCAGAGTTCCCAGTACGGGCAACGTGAGCTAATTTGACCAGTAGTTGCAGGCTAACTGAGCTAATTAGATAATGGCAGCTAGTTAGCAGCAGTTAGCTGACTTGCTACAGCAACAAGCAAAGCTATGTGTCCATCAGGGAAGTCAGTAAATCAGAGAGTTGAGGCAGAGCAGCCGGGAAACATCAGAAAGAAAACGAGGACATATTTTCCAACAAATATGATCCAGTTTCAGCAAAATCGGTGAGTAAATTTGTGCTTTCGTACGGTAATCAGTGATACAGTAAACACCAAGTGCACTGCTGAGGGTTTAACTGTGGTCAGCCATGTTTATTATTTACATTTGGCGTCACGCACCACCACGCACCTGAAACGCTTTGAGGTCGGAAATTGGATATTTTAACTTGGAAATATCCCGGTTCCGACCGGTCTGGAACGCGGCATTAGTGAAAGCTGTTTATTAGCACTTCTGTGTGCTTGTGTCTCATAGAAATGTTCGTACACAAAGTGCCGTCCAGCTGCTGTCTGCGGTCGTGTCGCTACAGCGTTCAGTGTGAGGAAAAACACCGCACAATGCGTTTCTTATCAACCGACCTAACAATAGCGGACCTGGCTAGTTGTAAACAATGAGCGAGGTTTCCCGACTTGTAACTGGAACGCCGTCAACTCGGGTGTGACGTCACTCCCAGCTCCGACCCCCTGAGGTAAACGGAACGCACCGTAAGCGCTCCATTGGTTTCCTGCTGAGAAGCATGGCCTCAGATTTAGACGTCGTCATGGAAATCAAAGTTCGGGCTGCTGAGTCAAAGTCATGAGTTTAGTTGACCCATCCATCCACCTTCTTATGTCGCTTTTTATACTGCGTCATCTGACTTCCTCCTGTGCTCCTGTCATTCGGCCACCAGACGTCACAGCGTAACAATAAACGTAAATACTCAACGCGTTCTCATCTCAGTGCGTCATAACCGAAGCTGACAAAGCGTAATTATTTTACGCTAAAGGTACCCTTCAGCATCCCTTTGAAACGCCACCGTTTGCTTCAACGCAGCAACACAAAGGAGCCCGGCGAAAGCTACCCGCACCGCTGTTGATTACGTTCCCGCTCTCTAGGGGTAGGAGAGACGTAAACATAAACCAGATGGGTTTGGTATGGGTGGAAAGATTTATTAAACAGTCTGATACACACAAAATGGTCAAACAGAAAATGGGCAAGTGGGTGCTGCATAAAACAAAGAACCAAATATAACAAAAAGAGATCCCTCCTATGTGAGGGATTACTAAACTACTTGAAAAAAGGAATAAACAAAAACCTCTCTAGCCGTTGTTCAGAAGCAAAAAACACAGGGAGCGCAGCACCCCTAAACCTAGTGTCACTAAAACAAGTATTTACTAACAGGTGTGGGTGATCAGTGAACGAGCTTCCCCTAGCCCAAGTCTGTAGACCAACTACTGGGATCAGCCCAGGTGAGTTACCAACTCTCAGTAACACACAGATCTAACAAACACAGAAAGGATTGTTTTCTCTGAGGACACGCACACACAGTTCAAAAGTTAGGACCAGCGTCGGGGCAAACTACATGGCAAAAGGTAGCTGCCCCGAACCAGCAGCAGACCAGCCTATTTGAGGGGGGAAGGTACGAAGGCGGTCCTGCAGGCAGCTCGGCGATTGGAGAAGGTTTGGTGCGTCGCTCCAATCAGGATCGTCGGATGTGGGAGGCGGGATCAGCCAGACTTGCCGAAGACCAGCCAATCCCCCGCCTCACAGTGTAACACATGTAGGGAGAAACACAGCAGCAGTGACACACAGACGTAACACATGCATAAAGGTTTAACAGTTCTGATGGTTATGGTAAGGGTAGGGGGCGCTAGATAGCTATCACCCCAGAGCGTCTCCCAAATAACTACGCCAGAGCTGCCAACTCTCACACATTGAGCGAGAGACTTTGCGAGACACTTTTCTCACGCCATACATCAATTTTCTCACACATTGGAAAAACTAACGTAGCATAACTGATAGCGTGGA